CGCATGGTTCGTCAGTCAAAGGCATTTCTAATGTCCTTAAAGCACAAAGAAAATTGCATCCTTATGAAAAGGGAGGGGGAAGCAAATTGCCTGTTGGAGGCTGAGCTGCCAGGGCTCTGGCAGTGCACACCAAATCCAGAGGGGCTGGGCTGGTGGAGGTGTCTGCCTGGGGCTCCATCCAGGATGCAGCCTCCTCCCCACTGCCTTCCAGACAGTGCTTAGGTCCACTGTCTCACCTCTTTACCCTCTGCCCTTGCCTATCCCTCCACACTGCTCCCTTCACTCTGAAATTCCCCTCAAACATTTAAGGCCAAGCTCCTAACTGCCTCAGGGCCTTTGCATATGCATTGCCAGCTACCTGGTACACACTCTTCTAGTCATTCAGGTCTCAATTGAAGCATCAATTCCTAAAAGACCCTTCCTGAGCACCCTGACTAAAGCCCCCATTCACTCATTGTCTATCACCTGCTTTATTTTCTACATGGCATTTGTCGATTCCTGAAATCATCATTTGGATTTAACTGTGGCTTCTTTGCTATCTGTCTAAGCCTCCTCACCTCCAACATGAGCACCTTGGATCAGAGGCTGTGTCCCCCATGCTTAGCACAGTGCCTGGCACAAAGAAGGTATTTAATAAATACTTGGTGAACAAATGGATTACAGACAGGAAGAGGCCCTGGGGAACCCTGAGACATCTGGGACACCACACCCCAAACTGAACCTTGAGGCTATTGGGTAAGGGGCAGTGGAGACTCCTAGAGCAGAAATCAGATCCAAATTCTTTAATTAATAGTTGTGTGTTCCTAGGCAAGTTGCCTCACATCTCTGAGTTTTATTTTCATCTGAGAAATGGGAGTGGGGCACCTACCTTACTGGCCATTATTGGATCAAGGAGACAAGGCAGGGACTGTGTCTCAGCACTGTGAACTGCCTGCCACACTCAGTAAGTGTTTGTTAAGTGAATGAATGGTCCCAGTAAATGTTTGATTGATATTAGAGTCTGTGATGCCACTGATGTCGGACATCATTATTCCCTGAAGTACAAAAAAGAAAAAAATTAAAAACATTGCCAGTGAAAAGCCCTGACCCAATGCTTATCTATCTCTTTTTGGCCTATTTGGACATACATGTTTATTATGGATCACGGCTGAGTTTACATAAAAATGAAACTATCAGGGAACTCAGTAGGCTAAGATGTCCCTAAAACTTCCTGGAGGTCACAGTTGCCTCTGGAAGGACCCCCTCCAGCGTTCCACAGTACCATCCCAGTTGACCACTGCCTCACAGGTGGGCCAGCCAAGTTCCCTCCATGCTGCTGCCCTTTGTCTTTCTGCACCTAGAGGATGATCCTGTCTCCCTTGCAGACTTCTTGGCTTTCTCCATCTAGGCTTGGTGCCTGAGTGGCAAAGGACCACCTTTGTCCAGCCTGGAACACCTCCCTCAGGGATAGTCACATGTTGCAGGCACAGGACCCACAATGCCTGGGACCTCCCTCACAAACTGTCACATGAACCAAAATTTAAGAAACCGGGAGATGTGGTCTTAAAGCTGGTGATACTCAGTAATACAGTGTGAGAACACTGGGATTACCGGGACACTGGGACAAGGGGAACTTTTGAAGTCACACAAGTGAGAGGTCTATTGCAAAGTCAGGCAGCGGTCAGAATGGAAGGTCCTGCCAGGTCAGGTGCCTCCATCAGGACTTACTTCAAACAGAAGGTGGACCCACCTTCTCCTGCATTGAGTGTGGAGAGCTTGGCCCAGAGCAAGGTTGACTCAGTTTGCAAGGCCTTGTCACTGTAGTCACTTTTTTGGCCCGCCCACCAGCAGGGAGTGAGAATCTACACCTCCCTTACACCCTTAAAGTGGAGCTGGAGAGGTGGTTTGAGAAGTTTCCTTCAACTCTCCAGAGCCTGGGCCAGGCTGAGCTGCAGGGCCGGTGGGTGTCTGGTCCTCCTTAGCCTGGCTTTGGCCCCTGGAAACCTGGGCATGGAGAGGCCTTGAGGGCAGAGGCTCAGGGGATCAACTGGTCCTCTCTCCGGACAAGGAAACTCAATCAAGGATATCATTTTGGATCAGGGGTTCCTCTCCAGTGCAGAAACAAAATCAGGCAGCCGGGCAAACGAAAATGGAAGAGGTGCCAAGTTTCTCCCCAGAACCTGGAGCTCCAGGAGGGTGCCAGGTTGAGAGGCTTGTAAGAGAGCTCCCTCTGCCCCAGGAGATGCGATGAATGTACCCTGGGGCCACGGTTCTCTCCTCCCACCTTATGGGTTCCCACCATTGACCTTCCAGGAGAATCCAGACCAGGGGAAGGGAAACCAAAGCAACCTTTATTTTTTACAAAGTGGGAAGGTAGGGGGAGGGATGCCCCTCCCGCCCCCCGCCCCTGCATCTGGCTGCGCTTGTCACATTCTGTCTGTACTCACTCCCGGTGGAACCAGTAGCAAGTCGGAGACTGAGATGAACTTCAGATCCCAGGCCCACCGCTTCCTGCCCGCCTCTCTCCAAACCTTCCCGAGTGCCGGCTCGAGCCAAAGGGCACCAGAACTAGGCTTCCACTTCATTGCCTCGGTCAGGTTCGAGGGCACCGGGTCAGGATGCAATCCCCCATCCCCTCCCTCCAGTCAATCCTCCCCTAAAATCTCCCCTAAGGCTCCTCCTCCCCTTCCCCAAGTGTAAACTTTGCGCGTGTTCGTGGCGCTGCTGCCAGGCTAATCCTGGTGCTCAGCACACTTGCTGCCGGGACTCTTAACGTCGGGAGGGTCCTGGCCACCCCTGCGTGCCCTCCACTGCCCCCAAGTCCAAGACTTTTGCAAAGCACCCAAGCCCGCACCCACACCCCACACCCCCACAGGCCACTGGCCCAGGGCTCTGGAGGCAAGGCGCTGCAGTGAACTCATTCGCTTACTCGAGCAGTCTCCGGGTTTCCTTTCCCAGGACATTGGGTAGAAGAGAGGTGAGCGGTGGGAGGAGGGGAGAGGGGGCAAGGGGACTTTCTCTCCCCTAAACCCGGGTCCTGGATTAAGGGGAGAGGTTGCTGGAGGACGGGAATGAGGCCTTATGTGCTGGTGGCTTGGGTGGCCAGAGCAGGGTGGCCGGGGTAGGTAACACTCAGGCCGGGTGCAACGCTTCACCTCTGTGGATGGGAGACAATCCTATACCTAGAGTTGCGACTGTGAGGGCTGCGGTCCTCGTTTTGGAATTTGGCATCGGTGGCACATTGTTTACCTCTGAGCCTTCACTCTCCTGGCATCGGGTCAGAGCGTCTGTCGAGTCTCATGGGCTTGGTCTGCCAGTGGTTGCCTCGTCCCCTGTTCCCAGAGTTCAGCAGTGTAGGCAGTGACAGAAATTTCTGCCACTCCGCCAGCACCAGAATCTAGGCCCTTTCGTGGAGGGCCCAACTCCCTCACTGATCAGCTGGTGTGGGGACAACCGTGCCTGCCTCAGGTTTCCTATCTGTGCCTGGCAGGCTGTACTCGATGGAACATTGCAGCCCCTATGCTCTGTTGTGGGATTCGCTTGACGTGCCCCTCTTAAAGCCCTTGTCCTTGGCAGCTGATTAGTCCAGTTCAGTGAGGAAGTTCTGTGGGGGAAAACCAGTAAAACCACAGGGTAATCTGCATAAGGTCACTTTCCTCAGATTTAGTAAAACCTGAGACTTGGAAGGTCTGCATGGAATGTGGGTCAGAATTCCTCCTCTCTCCTTTTTTACCCTCCTTCCTTCTACTACCCTGCATGGTTGACAAAGGCTGTAGCTGGAATCTCAGTCCCCTAGGTGCAGCCCAGACAGAACTTCTAGGACCTTCACTTCCCTCCTGTTTACAGTAGAGAGGATTAAGTGCAGCAGTGTGCCTTACTTGGCTAGCCTGGGCCTTGAGCAGGAAGATTCCCTGAGGACTGAGGACCACTATATTGAGTGGACCCAGGGCAGCAGGAAGCATGCTGGTTTTCACTCCACCTGGTTTTAAGTCAAACTCTGAGGTGCTTGGGCACCAGCAATTCAAGTGCAGGTTTCAGGAAGGGTAAGTCAAGCCATGATTAGAAAGGGAAGCCACAGCCACTACAGGTAGGGGCCATAGTTCTTACATTCTTCTGAAATGCAAAGTCTGCATCTGAACATGATGTTCTTCTTTTCTGAGTATTTGCCACCTGTAAGGACCTGGTTTCAAATCCTTATCCTGCTTGGAACTCTACAGGGCCAATTTGTTGGGGTTTCTCCCCCAGCTTTAAACAGGAAAGTGGTCATCTCCCAAACCCATACTGTGGCCATTATCTTAGGAAAAGCAAGGACCCAACCCACACACGAGTCCCAGGCCAGCTTAGACCCAAAATAAGATATCTGAAGCCTTACCGCAAGGAGGGGTCACTCAGGGCCAGGCCCCAACGAAGATGTGCCCCTGGAAACCATGCCCTCGCTGGAGCTCCGGCAGCTTGTAGTCCTCAGCCCGAGGCAGCAACCCTCACTGCCCCAGACTCTCCCGCCAGGCACTGCTGCCCAGAGTATGCCTTGGGAAAATGTGAAAACTCGGAGGCTGTCGCTTATGGGCTGGAGCTGCCGCTGGTGGTGTCCTCAGTGCGAACCTCAAGTCCTCGGGTCCCCATTGGCCTCAGGAAGGGCTGGCCAAGAGCACCACAATCGGTCCTTAAAGTGTTAGGACACCGAACAACAAACCGAAGAGGCTATCAGGCCCTGCCACTTCCTGAGTGAGCCCCGAGGTAGCCTGGGGCTCCCGTTCTTTTGACCGACCCGACCCCTATAAAGCCTAGCTGCTACACCCGAGCGCTCTGGGCTGAGCAGTTCAGACTAACCCTGCAGCCCAAAGGGAAGCAATTCTGAGGATCCTGCAGCCAGAGCCACAGCCATCCGTGCTCAGCGTGGGCCCAGTGACGCAGGTCAGGGGTCGCTTCTACGTGATCCAGGAAAGAATATTTCAGAAGCCACTGATATCTCTCTCAACTCCACCCCACCTCCATGAGTATTCAGAAACCCCTAATTTAGACCTGTTGTGTCATAAAATATTTTATTGGGAAAAAAATCACTGTCTTCGCAAGAAAGGGGTAGGGGCCCCAACAACGTTAGGTACCCTGCTTCAGGGCTGAGCTGCCAGGTTGTCCATACAGGGTCTCTGGCCATGGTGGCCTGTGTGGCCACAGGGTCCCAGATGTTCAGAAGCTGGTGTGTGCCTGAGGTCTCCTGGCCGAGGGACGTCCGAGGCGGGTGGGGTGCGGTAAGGAGAGGGGCGTGAATGTGCATGGTGCGCCTGGTGTGCGGAGCTCTGGGCACAGGCGACTTTCGGCCGCTGGGGTGAGTCTCCAGGCTACCGGCGCACTGGGGCCTGGGTTGGCTTCAGGGTCTGTGTCCTTCCTTGTTTGGCCCCTAACTGTCCACATTCAAGGTAATAATAAAACGTTTACAAAACAGAGTGGAGGCAAAAGGTCCGGCTCGAGGTTTCTCCCAGACTGAGGGGGTCCCCGGACTGCACACTCAGTCCTCACGGCCCTTGTCGCTGGCCTCGCCAGGCGGCTCCGCTGGCTTCTCAGCCTCCTTGGCTCGTTCCTGCTCAGTGAGCTGCTCGCTGGTGGGGATGGAGTTCTTCTTGGGCCGCCCTTTGGGCTTGGTGGGGGACTCCAGGCCACCGCCTTGCAACACCTGCGCAAGGACACCAGCACGGGTGAGCAGGGACACAGTACCCTATGCCCTGTGCTGGGCAGAACCTGAAGGGCCAACAGGCCATCTGAGGTCACGCCTAACCCAGGGAAATGGCGACCATTTGAGCGCGGCTGGGGAAAACCAACCTGAGGCCAGGCCAGGGGTTCAAGACTGCCAGGAAGTGGAGGGTGCAGTGGGGCACAAAGAAATGTAGGTTGAGCGAGGGCACCCAGAGGGACAGAGAGAGCAGAGAGGCTCCCTTTAGGCAGCAGGCCCGAAAGGCTTGGGGGTGGGGCAGGGCGGGAAGCAGCTCCTGAAGAGCTCAGGGGCTTGGCGGCAACCAGGAGCAAAAGCGAAGAAGCCACCAAACACTCACTATTTTCTTCCACTTCATCCTCCGATTCTGGTACCAAGTCTTCACTTGCAACTGGCTCAGGCCCAGCGACTCCGCGAGATCTATTCTGGAAAAAGCAGGGTGCACCCTCAGCAGGGCGAGCAGCACCCCTCCCAACTGCCCGCTGAGCTAGGTAGGCCTGGCCCCACGCTACCTGTCCGGGGTGGAGAGGTACTTCTGCTTCTCGAAGCGTTTCTCTAGGCCCATCAGCTGCAGCTCCGTAAACACGGTGCGGCTCCGACGCCCCTTCTTGGCCTTGGTGCCCGGCTCCCCGGTGCCGGGTGCCTCTAGCTTCCCACGGAGCTGCAGCTCCAGAGGCAGGTGTGGTGTGCCTGCAACGCTGGGTAGCCCAGGCCCAGTGGCCAGGAGCGCCGAGCCCAGCCCGGAACAGCCAAGTGGCGTCAGCGGGAACTTAAACACCGCCGCTTGCTCGGCCTTCAATACCGCTGGGGGTGGGGGGTGAAGAATAGGGGGCCAGATGAGCTCAGGTCCTGCTCCTCCTGGGGGGAGACACCCCCAGCATCCCCTGCTGTCGGCCAAGGGCTAGCGCCCAGCCAGCATCACCCAGCACAAAATTCTCCTCCCTAGCTGCAAAGCCTAAGATTTAAGCCACGCCTAGGGTGAGCGGCTCCAAAGCCAGTGTCCCTCAGTCTCGGAATGGGGCCCTACCCCACCTCGGACTCTGCGTGGGTGTTCCTCTGGCCTATACCACCTTTGAGATTTCGGGATTCTCCTACGAGGTGCACACAGTGTGTTTCACTGAAAGCGGAAACCAAGAAAAAAAGGCAGCGGGATAGGAAGATGAGCATTTGCCCAGTCAAATCGGCATTGCTGTGTTCAGGAAAAGAGGATCGATGGAGTAAGCAGGGTCTATTCTCAAGCGTGGGCACAATGGCCATGGGCAGGCAGTGGGTCCACAGCAAGGGGGAGGTTTGAGCCCTTCCCAAAAATGTCCAAGCACCCCACAAATCCCAAAATCCTTCTTCCTGTTTTCTCTGTGCAGTCTTTACCCTGTAAAGATGTTTCCATTTCCATTACTTATAAATGATTTTTTTTTGCCCGCTTTAAACGAATTATTAACCACAGGGCAGCCGGAGGCAACACGCAGCGGTGAGGCTGCATCAAAGTTGGATTTAAAACGAATAAACCGGCCCTGCTGCCCCACGGGAGTTCAGAGCACAGGCTGGAGGGTAACCGGAGCCCAGGAAGGTGGCTGGATGAACCGGGGTCCCTCTAGAACAAGGAGGCCTCCCTTCGCCACAATCATCTCATTGCCGGGCAGGTGCTGTCCCATGGAGTCAGCGAGGGGTGGCCGAGGTTCAACAGTGTGATAAGGGAGCCGGAGGGACCCAGAGGGAAAACGGGACAGGGAAGGCAAGCCCACCCCACTGAGAGAGGCCACGAGAGGTGGATGTAGGGTGAAGAGAACTGGGGAAAGGCCGGAAGAACACGGGGTGCGATGGAGAGGGCACGAGCCGGGCAAGGCAGGCCCCACCAAGGAAGGAAGAGAGTCCGGAGAACCAGAAAAGGCCCCAGTAAGCAGCTCAAGCTCCACGGAGGCGCAGCAGACCTGGAAGCAGAAGGGCCAGTCGGGCAGCGGCTCACAGCCAGGCCTCTTGTTCCCAGGCAAGGCTAAGGGGTGTCTGCTGCAGTACAGGCCAGTGTGTTGCCCGCCTGAAACCAAGGGCTCCGGGAGGCTTCGGGGCGGCTTGGGCCTGAGTCCGCCCCCTGCGTAGTACTCGGAGATGCAGGGCTCTTCTCCAAGGTCCGATTCCCTGCCTAGGGCAGTACCAGGCAACCCCGGCCATTCCCGGCTAGTCCTTTGCGGCGAAGGCCCATGCACCCGCGGCCTGAGATCGTTCTGACTCGAAGTCTGAGGTTAGCAGTCTAGACCTATGCCCGCGTTGGGAACACGGCTCGGTGCGCGGGGCTGGAGGCCGCAGGGTAGCAGGGAAGGAGAGAGCAAACACCCTCCCCGCCCGCCCGGCCGGGGCACGAGGCCTGGTTCTAGAAACGTCCGGCTCCTGCCTCTCCGCTGCCCGGCCGGGCCCAGAGGGAACGACCCGGAGTCCACGCTCCCAGAGGTGCGTGCTAACAACGGCGAGGCTTGCCCCCTCCCTCCCTGCCGCAGGCACCCGACGCCCCGCACGTACCCAGGTGGCTGTGGAAGGGCCGTGCGGCCAGCAGTGCCTGGACGCCGAACTTGAGAAGCTCGCCCGCGGCGGCAGCGGCGGCGGCGGGTGCGGCGCCCTTGGGCCCTGGTGGCTCAGTGAGGATCTCCTCTATCATGAAGCTGCGGTAGCGGTGGGGCCTGTGGTCGACGCAGCCCTCGGGCGGCCCGAAGCGCGCAGCGCCTGGTTCCCCGGGCCGCTGCATCGCGGCTCCCGCAGCTCAGAGGCAGCGGTGGCTCGGGCGCAGGGCCCGCACCGGGCTCTAGGCCGGCCCGCAGCTCCCGGGGGCGCGCGGGTGCCGGCTCATGCCCCCTCCCCCGCTGGCCGGCCGGGCGGAGGCACAGGGCGCGGGCGGGGCGCGCAGGGCTCGGCCGGTCGGACCCCGGACTGCGCCCCCGCCCCGCGCCGCGTTGCCTCTAGCGCGGCCGGCTCCGCGTCACCGCCCCGCCCCGCCCTGCCGCCCCGCCCAGCGCCGCCCGCCGACCCCCACCCCACCCCACCCCACCCCACCCTACGCTGAGCCCGGGGGAGGGCCAGAGAAGAGCGGGAGGCGGGAGGGAGGGGGCCTGGAGAAGGGCCTGCGGACCCAGACCAAGGAAGACCCAGCGGAGCGCACACCCTGGAAGGAGAGAGCGGGAGAGATCGGGAGAGGAGACCCCCAAAGAAGGGAGCAAAGGGATCAAGAGAGGTGAGAGAGGGGCCAAAGCGAGACAGCAAGGGCCACCCAAGATGCGAGACTGAGATGTGAGGGTGCCAGGGACGTCCAGCCGTGCGCAAAGAGAGACCAACAGAGGCGCTGGAGCCAACCGGCCCGTGACGTGCCGGCGGGCACAGAGGCAAAGCCAGGGCAGAAAGAGGGGGCATTAAAGAAAGAGAGGGGACAGCTAGGAAGGGGAGCAGCCTGGGCTAGGGTTAAAGCAGCCAGGGGAGGTCGGGAGGAAAAGAGGCAAAAGCCACATGGCTTGGCTGGGAAAGCGGAGGTGGTGTGCAACCTCCTGGTCAGGGCGCCTACTGGCAAAGGTGACGCTGTGGGCAGGGGTGCAACTGGTAGAGCAGAGGCTGTACCTGTATACTCCCGCATCAGTTTATCAGGCACGACTTCATTTCCCTCCTTCCCTCCCGCAGCTGCCCTGAGAGGAAAACTTTCTGCAGCCTCAATCTGCTTATATGGCCCAGTGGTTCCTGGACACATTGTCCTTGGAAATCCCAGGGAACTGTGGGATGGGTTGTATCCCCATAGACAGAGGAAGGGATGGAGAAGAGGAAAAGGAAAGGCTACATTCCACCTTCTCTCAGCATTGGACGCTTATTAAGGTTGAGGAAGGCTGTAGCCTACTCAAGCTGCTTCTCATCATTGCAGGAATATAAGCTCTACCCATGGGGAGAACCCCTGAAACCTCACCTCTCCTCTAAGCTTCTCTCTTTGCCCCTGCAACTCAGGACAGGCCACTGCCCTGTTCTGGGCCTCAGTGTCCTGACCTGTCTGAAGGAGATGCTGACACTTAGCTCCAGTCAGGTTGTGAGGACTCAGTGGGGGTCCTGCACATGCTGACCCCCACAGGGTCTGTTGGAGAGAGATACATAGTTCATTCATCAGGGCAAGGAGGGTCAGGGGAAGGTGGATGGGGATGGGGCTCCTGGAGGCTAAGGGAGGGTGCCTGCCATCCCTGAGGAGTTGCACACCTGGGGTCCTGGGTCACTTCTTGTGTGAGCTTGGCCTGGGGCTTCAGTGGTCACTTCGAGGGAAATAGAGCCTATCATACCCAAGGCCTGCCACACCTCAAGGTGATGCAGTTTCTGTAGCTCCAGCTGCTGGCAGGGAGATCCTCAGTCTGGCCCCAGGTCCTAGCACCTGCCCCAGACTTTGTGTGGATTAGGAAATGACTAAGATTCTTTGTCCATAGGGACAAAGAGACTATCTTACCAGAGGCTCTGGCAAGACTAGAACCCCAAGAGTCCAACTGCCTCTCCGCACAGTCATTAAGAGACTTTCACTGGGGCTGCCCCTTCCTGAATCTCACAGTCATCAGCACAGAAAGGTGGCCTCTAGGTGCTCCACCCATGGGTGGTACTGTGAGTCACTGGGCTTTTCAGAAGGAGATGGTGTGGGACCCCACTAAGAGTGATGGTGTCCCTCAGAAGGCAGGTCTCCCTACCAGTGAGAGGTAGGGAAACAGAGGACAGAGCCAGTCTTGGTTGGTTCAGAAGCTGCCAGGCAAACAGAAAAGCTCTGCGTAGCCAAGCTGGGACCCCTCTACACATGTGGGCACAGAGAACCCTCCCTAGATGGATGCTGTGTTTTTGTCACCCTCTATAACCTACTTTCTCAGATGGGGAAACTGAGGCCCAGCAGAGGGAAGGCAATGGCCCAAGGACCACAGTGAGTAGAGTTGGTTTTCTCTTCCTTCTTGTAAATATAGTACGGTACTCGTTTTTTTTTTTTTTCACACCCCCCCCCCACCCCGGCCCACTGCACCCAGGAGACCCTACCCAATATCTCCTTCTCTTCTCGCTTACACATCTTCCCAAGGAAATCGCCTGAGGATGGTAGCATCATTGGAGGGTCAGGCCCAAACACTCCTCTCCATCCCTTCACTTCTTATTTGGACCACTGCCTGAAGCTGCCAGCTCTGAAACATCTCTGCCCCTATGCAGGGGCTCAGATCTGGCAAAGAGACAGCTTAGGTCCCAGATCAGAGGGCTTGGGGATCACATCGATCAGCCCTTACCAAACCGATTTTGTCCCTGCGGTAACTCAGATTTAGGGTTAGGTCACTTTTAAAATCGAGGCCTCACCTCTACATTTGGGAGAATCCGAAGACTAGCGTAGTCCAGCCCCCAACTCCATTTCACAGGCGCAGAGGCTTCCCGGTGGCCAGGAGAATCCTGAGTGCAGGGGCGGCCCCAGGGAATGAGGCCCCGGGGTTCTCTGGTGGAATGCCCGGCAGGCCTTGGCAGGCCCCTAGGACTGAGAGAGCCCGGCCTCCACCTTGTCAGCCCCTCAGGCACCCCCCCTCGGCGGATAGGCCTCCGATCACCTCCTCCGGACGCGGTCTCTCCGCAGCGCCATTCCCAAAGCAGACCCACCCGCAAAGAAACAAACCCCTTTGGGACGAAAAAATGCGCACAGACAGCCTCCTTTTCTCCGGGAATTGCCGCGTTGGCGCTGGCGTAGGCTTTTCTTAGAGTGGGGTCTATTCCGCCGAGAATAGAGGCCCAAAGAAGGGAAGCCCCCCGTCCGGGCGGCCTCGGAGCCCCAGGCGATCCCAGCCAAGCAGACTCATCCCAGAGGCAAAGCCACCCCGCCCCACGCCTGCGACCCCCCGGGCCTCCTGCCGCCGCTGCGAAAATCCCGGAAACCGTCCGCTAGCAGCGGGCGCTGTGGAAAAGGTGACTTCAGCGCCCGAGGCCAACCACCCTTTCTTGCTGCCAGCCACGGGGGGCTTCGGGCAGCAGGAGGCCCGGCGCCGCCCGGACGCCGGGTGGGCTCGTTTCCACCGTTTCTCAGCTTCTCCCCTAGAGCCTCAAAGAGAAGGTGACGACAGGGAGGGGGTACCTCCCTCCCTGATCCCACCTCTCCCTACCGGGGTGCAGGTGCCAGACCCTCCCCTCTTCCAGGCAGCCTTGCACTTCCTCCAGCACCGCCGAGTAGGTTCTGAAGTCTACCGTGGCGGTGGGGTGGGGGGCGGATGCGGAGGAGCCTGAGCCCCGGTACGGTCAGGGAATTTGAGTCTGGCAGGAGGCAGGCGGGGCAAGGTGGAGGCCTGGACCTGGGCGCTTCTGCACGGCCTGCAGGGTTCTGGCTGCTTCCAGTCCCCGCGCCGACCCTCGCCGTTTCCCAGAGCCTCCTCTCCTAGTTGCCTCAGGTTTGTATTTTACTCGCCAAAATGCAGCCGGGGCGGGAATGGAGGGGCGGTTTCCTCAGCATCGACGGGCTCACCTCCAACCCCAACCCTCCAGCAGCTGCCTGCGGGGAGTCCCACCACCTCCACCACCACCAGTGGATGGACCGGGAAGCCGAGCCCGACGGGCGCTGCCAACCCGGCCCCCTTGCACTCCCGCGCCCCGCGGCGGCATCAGCGTCTGGAACGAGGCTTGTCCTCCTCTCCCTTTCTTTCCGTTAGCCCTCGGCTCTGATTGCCTCCGGCCCAGGCAGGCCGGCGGTGGAGACAGTGGCTCCAGGGCCGGCCCCCGGGTCGGTCTCCGCCAGCCTTGCGCGGCGGGAGCCGCCTTGACCCGACCCGGAGGGCGCTGTCCGGCTCGCGGCCCGCACCCCGCACCCCGTTCTTGCTTGAGAGCCTGCGACTAAGATTGGAGACACTTGTCTTGCTTGCAAAACAGGAATTCTCTGGGTTATAAAACTACCCACTCCTCACATTCGCAGGCCAAAGCTCCCCGGGACCGCTCCGTAGCCTTCCCGTTGTAAAAGCGGGTGTCTGCGACGCCTTCCCGCACGAAAGTTTGGAGTCAACTGTAGACTTTTCGTTTTGAATCATTTCAAACTCCTGTGACCTCGGGGCTCGAATCGCGTTTTGGGACTGCGTCTTAAGACACACCCCTCCCTCGCCTGTTCAAATTCTCCCTCTTCCAGTAGGTTTTTTTTTTTTCCTTTTGGAATTGTTAACTTTTTAAAATGTTATTTTATTTAGAAGTGTGCTTTTTAAAATATCCTTAGGTAGGCAATAACTGCTTTGACCCATTAAAAATCGGTTCTCGGTGCCTCGGGGGAGCCAGGGCAATTATGCGGGACACAGCGCAGCCCCAGGGCCCCTCCCTGGGAGGGGCCGGGCTCCATTTCGTGCTCACGGCTCCGCGGGCCCCACCGTGGCCGTCAATGCTACGTTGGATCTGAGTCCTGGAGGCCACACCCGGGGCAAGGAACTTATGGCCGCCGGCGCCTCGGCGTGGGCTCTTCTATGCAGCGCGCGCGAACCTTTCCGGACTTGTCCTGCCTGAGCTGTGGGGGCTGTGCATCAGAGACGAGGGTGCCAAGGTCGGGACGCTGGGTCTGACTCCCGCCCTGGCTCGAAGCGTTCTGGCCTTCTGGAGAGAGTGAGTGTTATATGGATGACTCCATTCCAACAGGTGCCGGGTCGCCAGCTCTCCCCGGAGCTCCTCGAACCTGAAGACGCGGGGGACTGCCTTCGCGATGCAAAGAGAAGGCCCCCTCAGGAGGGCCGTGTCTCTGCAGCCGCAAAGACTAGACAAGCGTGAAAATGGCTAGAGATTTTCCTTTTCTTCTTTTTTCTTTTTCCTTACTCCTTTGCTCTCTCCCTTCCCTCTTCCCTGCCTCCATTTAATCCCTTTCTTCTTTTATTAACTCTCCCTTCTCTACCAGCATCACATTCTTTTGCTCTCACTCTCCTTCCTTACTGTTCTCCTCTCCCTTTCCCAATTTCCTTCTGTCAGAAAAAGGGCCAAGCCACGGTCTTTTCCCTAATAATAAAGAGGAGGCCCCGAACTTACTGTCACTCCGCTCCCCCAGGTGTTAAATGAAGATCCCTTGAAGGATTTGATGACCTGTTTACTTGGGCCAGGGATCCCTCCCAGGAGGGCACCCTGGGAGGGGGGGGGGGTGCCAAGCCCCATTTAAGCAAGACATCCTAGCCCTGCCTCCCAGCCAGGTGAAGGGGGGGCACTACACCTCCTCTAGGATGTCTTCTAGAAGCAGGTGGGAGGCCAGATCACATTGCCTGTTCCAGCAGGGACTCACACTGGTATCTCTCCACCTGGCACAGAAGTTCCTTCTCCACCTGAGAAACAGAAAGAGGCCACAGCTGCCCAATCTCCTCAGAAGCCAGGCCAGGGCTGACCTCTGGTTCCTGGGCTCCAGGCCAGCCCTCCTCTCTCCTGCTGGTCTGAGCAAGAGGAATGAGCCAGGAGCCTGGTGCCCCATCCAGAGTTACTAAGCTTTCCTGCCCTCCTCCCCCCCACCACACCTGTGCTTTCTGCACCCTCTTGTGCCAGGGTGCCAGAACGGGCTCAGAGGTCCTGCTCATAAATGCCCAAATGCCATGCACAGCACACAGGGGATTCAACAATGAGCCCAGGACCTCTGGCTTCAGGTTCTTTCCTGCTACAGGCCTCGAGCAAACCCCATTCCCTGATCAAGCCTCAGTTTCCCCATATGAAAAGATGACAGGGAATGGATAAGGTGAATCCTCCTTACCAATTTTAAGATACTAGATCAGGAGTCACAAAATTTTTTCTGTAAAGGGCCAGATAATTAAACAGTTTAGGTTCTGCCAGCCATACAGTTCTGTTGCAGCAATGCCACTCTGCTGTTAGTGTGAAAGCAGCCGTAGGTGGTAGGTAAATGATGAGTGTGGCTATGTTCCCATCAAACTTCATTTATATACAGTATAACTTGAATTTCATATAATTTTCACGTCATGAAAAAGTCTGATTTTGATTTATTTTAACCATTTAAAAATATAAAAACCATTCTCAGTTTACAGGAATATAAAATAGTCAGTGGGCTATAGTTTCCTGATCTAGACTTACTTTTTTTAATTGTATAAATGTATCCACTCACATATCAGAAGCATTATCTAAAAATATTAAAGTTTTTTTTCATAGTATTGGGGCTTTAGAAACAAATCATCTGGTACATTTCTTACTCCCATGCCTGAATTCTCAACAATGTAATATCTTCTGATACTAATATACCTATACCCTGGGCTGGATGCTTTACTGTCATCTCATTTAATCCCACAATAGTTCTTGGAGTACAGATTACTCACTCCACTTTCCAGCTCCTTGCACACCCCAGTGACAGGGTGTTCACTCCTTTAAATGGCAGCCCTAATAGACTCTGAGGGCTGCTGATAGCCCAGTGATCTGGCCAGCAATCCCCAGAGGGTGAAGGCCACCATGGATGTGTGTACTCCCTCTGGTCCAGTCCTTCCCATTTCCTCTCAATTCCATCTAAATCCTCTCCAGCTGGTGAAATGTGGATGGACCAGAGGGCCATGGCCTTGATTTTCTGGGAGTTTCCCAAGCCCTGAGCCTCTACAGGCCTTTGCAGCTGCCAAGGGATAAACGTTGCAAGGAATAAGCAAAGGGAAAGAATACGACAGAAAAATAGCTATTACAAATGCATTACTAAAAGTGTTTTCAGGAAAGCTTGCTTATTGGATACCTCACCCTCTTCTGCAGCCTCAAAGGCTCTTGCGCCCTCTGCTGGCCAAATTGAGTCCCAACCAGGCTCGCTAGGACCCTCTTTTCCTCTTTGAAAGGAAAACCCACCCTTATGGGGTGGGAAAGGACTTTCTTCCCCTTTATGTACCAAACACCTGCAGGATGCGAGGACACAAAGAATAAAAGGTATTTCATCTGTTCTCCAGAAGTGAGACAGATGTGCTTACAAATGACAGGAAAGCTGTAGGATGAGCCGGTAGATGGGTGGCAGGCACAGACAGGCACTCACTGCTTCTGGAGGGTAACATTCTAGTAGTGAGCTGGCTACGTGTGTCTGTTGTTAAATGTTTGGATAGTTTTAGTGCCAGCCAAAGGTCCATGGGGAAGTTTCCTACTGCTGAGGAGTCTCTCAGTTCATTTATTGGCTCCACATGTACTACTAAACCCATAATAGTCCCAGGAGCTGCCCGAGGAGCACATAACCTGTGCACACATTGTGCCTCTCCCTTATAAGTATCTCATTTCATCTCAGGTCTAGGAAGAGAACACTTGGCCCTTAATTTACAAGCAAGGGAAGAGAGGCAACCTAATTTGCCCAAGTGGCAGAGCCAGGGTTTGAGGCAGCCCTCCCTCCATAGAAACACTGTGGCCTTTTGGGGTCCTCCCCCATTTTCTCTCCAACCCTTATTGCTTCTGAGGTTCAGACTGGTAGCTTTAGTGGCCAAAGTTTAGTTCTAGCCAGTGTCCACAGGTCCACCACACTTACTGTGTCCAAACATGGGCTCCTCACCACTTGCCTCTCCCAGGCGTTCCTGCTCCCAGTGCCTGGGCTGGGTACGGAAGAGCAGCCAAAGATGCCATAGGTGTGGACACACCTCACTGACTATTGACCAGGGAGATCCCTGGGGTGCAGGGCCTGCTCCTACCAGAGCAAACAGCAGGCAGGGCATCCCTAGTGGGAGGGCAGAGGAGCCAGGGTACACAGGCCCTTCCACAGGATGGCCCCCATGCTGGCCCCAACCCAGGCCCATCCCAGCTGTCTAGGAGAGCAGCTGACTTCCCACAACAGAGGGTGACATAAGGTGGTGGCTTTGGGGAAGACAGGCCGCTCTGAGAACCCAAAGAGGAGTCAGGAAAAGGCAGGGGAGGAGGCAGCTGAGGAAGTGTCTGTCCTAGTATGGCAGGTCAGCACAAGGAGGCAGAAGAGCACCATTTGCCAGGGCTGGGAAGCCCTCTGGAACACTGAGTTCAGAGGGGGTGTCAAAGTCCTAGGAAGTCTGGACACCAACCACTTTGAGGCTGAAAGGCTTATCCCAGAAACAAGGTTGTTCCCAAATAGTTTTGCATTCTATGGTGCCCACAGCAGCTTGCTCTCAGCCAGGGAGGTATAATTGCAGACCCTCCTGGTGCCTAGAGGCAGCTATCAGAGACCCTGGAAAAGGTCTGGAGACCTCTGTTGTCACCATATAACTCACAGGGTTGACATTAACTGTCATGTGCAGGGCGCTCCTGGTTGTGCAGTATACAACCCACAGCAGTCCTGCCAATTATTTGCTTCCTTCTGTTCTCATAGATCAAAATGGGGCTGTAGAAACTGTTATCATTGTTCTAGAACATTCTGTATGCCCCTTTCCTGATGATAAGCTACATGTTGAAACAAGGGAGGACAACATATCCTATGCACATACTTCATGTTAAAAAATCTACCTTAGAAATCTAGTGACTTGCTGTTGCAGATTAGAGCAAAATTTATGTCTGGGAGTTTTGAGTGAGGAAAGTGTGGCAGGCCAAATTCTATGACTGCCTCCTGGTGTACATGCCCTGTATTACCCCAGCCCCCTAGCCATCCCCAGGAATTCCCTCCCCTGGAATGTGGGCTGTCCTATCCTGTGATAGGTTATCACTGCCCTGATCCAGTTACCTTAACTCGGGGGGGGGGGGGGGGGTGGAGCTAATGTAATTAAGGTCCCTAATGGGTTGCTGTTGAATTAATCCACAGGGCCAGGACCTAATGGGTTGCTGTTGAATTGGTCCACAGGGCCAGGACCACAGGTAGCCTTCAGGAGTAGAGAGCAAGGAAACAGATTCTACTGACAATCTGAGTGACCCTCGAAGTGAGCCCATCCTCCACTGGGCCTCCAGATAAGACCACAGCCCAGCCCTGACTGCCAGTCTGTGAGATCCAGAGCAGAGCACCCAGCTAAGCCCTGCCTGAACTCCAGACCCACAGATAGCCTGAGATAACAAGTGTATGCTGTTTTAAGTCACTACACTTATAGTGATTTGTTTTGCCACAACAGAAAGTAATTTAGTAAGGGCTATGTGTGGGCAAAACCTGACTTCAGCCTCAGCAGGGAAAATACAAGAGAACAGGACACCACTTTAGGGACCTTTGCTCTCTACCATGACCCAGGGCAAAGCTGGAAGTCTCCCTGCTGAAGGACTATGATGCACCTTTATCCCCAATGTGTGTGCCTGCTGCTGTCTGAGGAGGCCCCTTTGGCAGGAAGCTGGCCGCAGCATGGGCAGGACCTATGTGGTGCTTCCTTGTCTGGGGTGGAGAACAAGAGGGTTAATTCTAACTGTCCTGTGTCCTCATGTCTTGCAACTGCCATCTTGCTATGAGTAAGAGTAAACCCAAGGAAGCCTCCATCGAGAGAGGGATGGCTGTCCCTAGCATTCTTGAGGCTACAGAGCTGGCCAGTGGTGGACACGGACATGGGGGGAGGAGTAATGTCCAGCTCCTCTTTATACCACCCCTCCCCATCCCAGTTAACTCTCCTGGGCTCTGGGATAGAGGACAAAATAGCAAATGGAAGTTAACCTCACTCTCAGACTCCAGGTCTGATGCGCTGGGGCCCTGCTCTGCTACCACATCTAGTGTTTGCTCTGCAGCCAGGTTTTAGCCTCTCACCCCCAGCCCTATTCTCATGCCAAATACGCTGCCCACAGGAGGCCTCTCCTCCCCTCCCTCCCAATGACACACTTAAGTTGTGGGTCCCATTCTCTGCCTACTACATCTGGATCTAGACTCCCACCACGTGCCCAATGTGGCTTGTGTGACGGGACCTTCCTTCCTGCTGGCTGGGCCTGGGCCCTGGTCAGTGTGGCTTTGATACCCAGCTGGCTCTGCTCTAGCTCTCACTGTCCTCTTCTCATGCCCAAAACATTTGAGGGAAAGCAGGGTGGCCTGTGGATGAGTGGCAGACCTTGGCTAATCTCTATCAGAGTGAATTACAGACTGTGAACAGCTGGAGTGAACATAGCACTAACACATTGCATCACAGTGTGGATTGTTATTTTTTTTTTTATCTTT